GGGGCCGCCAGGGGCGGGGCCGCCCGGCCCTTTAAACCTTTCAGGGCTGCTCCCAGAGTCGCAGCCGGAGACAGCACCACGAGGGGCCTGAGCGGGAGGGGTGCGGCGGCGGGCGCTCCGGGGAGGTGCGTACCGGGCCCCTTCCTCTTCCCAGGAGACCCCCGGCGTCCATCTCGGGAGGCTCGTGGCGCCGGGCCCCGGCGGGCATGCCGGCCATGGCTCCCTGCCTGAGCCCGGGTCCCCGCGCCCACGCTAGCGGGGGACCGGGGCGGGCTTCCCGCGTGAACCCGCCCCTTCCCCAGGGAGCCATGGTCAGGTGGCGGTCTGCGTGCGGGCGCGTCGCTGTCCCGCAGCCCGCTGCCGGCCCCGTACCTCTTCGCAGACTTTCCCTGGCGAGGCCCCTTGATTGTCCTAGCTCCAGCCCTTCTCCCAGCCCGGGTCCCTCGGGCGAGGAGGGTGATCCCTTCCTGATGTATGGCACCGCCTGAGCCTCTGAGCACGCCGGTGGCATTTCGGTGGACCTCGGATGCTCCCATGGATGCCCCAGGGTGTCCACGTCCTGGCCTAGGCTCAGCCCAAAGTTTGGGAAGTCAGAGGCTCAGTGGGATCTCCGGATCAAGTGTTGACCACCCTTCCCTCCCCACCCCCACCTGGTCCAGTTATGGACCCTGCACTTTGACCTGTCTCTTTCCACCAGACCAGGGCAGCTGATGGTTGTGAGAGAAGTATCTTAAGGTAGCTGGGCCTGGCCCCCTTCCCCACCCACCTCCTGTCCTCCCCCACCCTCACCACCACCCTGGCTCCCTTCCCTCATGACCGCCTGGATCCTCCTTCCTGTCAGCCTGTCAGCGTTCTCCATTACTGGCATATGGACTGTGTGAGTAAAAGGGGCAGAAGCAGTGAGGGGGGTAACTAGGAGACAAGACAAACCCAAGCTGAGGAGGGACAGGGCCTGTCCAGGACCCAGCTGGAGCTTGATGGCACACACAAATCCCTTGTCCCTGTTGCAGGCTCCAGGATGGTACCCAGGGCCACCCTGGCTGAAGCCTGGTCTGCATCTGGGCACACAGCCCCTTGGGATAAGCTGGCACCACTGCTGGCCCTGCAGGGTGGCACTAACAGTCATCCTTCTAGCCAGGGCAACTTGCAGGGGGACCACTCTGTAGCAAAGGGCCTCTAGTTGGAGGCCATGCTGTGGGCTCTGTTGTGGTACCAAGCCTCAGGGCCACCCCAACTCCAGAGTCCCCAACAAGGACAACAAGGCTGACCGGGGCTAGAAATCAAGGTAGAAGTCAGTGAGGGGAGGCTGGCTGGGGGGAGTAGGGCGGGTGACAGCTGTGCTCCTGCAGGTATGCCATGGCTGTGATGAACCGCCACGTGTGTCCTGTGGAGAACTGGTATGGCGCACTCTGCAGACAGCCTCACTCTAAAGCTCCCTTCATCTCTGTTCTGTCTTGGGTCCGGGGGCTGCCGCAAGCCAGATGGAGACCCTGGGCCTCACTGCTCTTCTCTGACATTGGCATCGCCTGCCCCTCCCAGGCATGGCTTTGTGCCCATCTACCCACTTCCCACCACCCCTTCTTCCCTGTGGCTTTTGTTTCAGGTGGGCCCCGGGGAGTGGGCGTTTCTGCCTCTGCAGAGGGAGGCCTGGGAGGGTGTCCTCTGTGAGGCCTGAGGCTACAGGCTGAGGGCCTGGGGGAACCCCCTCTCCCCAGTCTACTCTCTGTCCTGCCTGCCTGCCAGGTCCTACAATGAGTCCTGCTCTCCTGACCCCACTGAGCAAGGGGGCCCCAAGATCTGCTGCACCCTGGACGATGTTCCCCTCATCAGGTAAGGCCAAAAATTGGGCCAGTCAGGGAGACCCAAGGCCCTGCTTAGACTCCCGGCCAATTCCCTCAAGCAAAGGTCTTTCCTGGGGTCCCAGGGATAATATATTAATAGACTGTTAATAACAGTACTACCTGAAGGTTACTATGTGCCGGTCACTGTCCGGAGCACTTTACATGCATCATCTTGTTTAATTCTCTCAGCTTTGAGGCAGCTATTGTTTTCCTCATTTTATAGGTGAGGAAACTGGCTCAGTTATGTTGTTTGTCCAGGTCGCACAGCTAGTAAGTGGAGGCACCTGGATTTAAGGCCACGCCCTCTGGTTGCCTAGCGCAAGCTCGGCTCAGGGAAAGCCAGAGCCGCTGCAGGCCATGACAAGAAGTCTCTGGCCAGCGAGCAATCCCGGGCATTCTCTTATCTCTCACACCCACGAACTCTGCTGTTGGGGCCCAGCCTGGGACACTGCCCCCTCATAAATTAGTGGTTGCCTGCGTTGGGACAGGCCCCAGGGAGAGCAGGTGGGCCAGAATGGGGCCTCCTGACCCTCCCTCGTTCTGCCCTTGCCCCCCTCCTCTCAGCAAGTGTGGCACATATCCCCCAGAAAGCTGCCTCTTCAGCCTCATTGGCAACGTCGGTGCCTTCATGGGTGAGCTGTGCCCTTGGATTCCCTCCCCTACCCAGGGCAACCCCCCTTCCCAGCAGCACCCCCTCCTCAGAAAGGCCCAGGAAGCCCTTGTTCAGGGCAGCCCTCCCCCACAAAGGCTAAGGCAAGGGGACTGAAGGGGACTATCTCTGGCCTGAGGGTTTTTGTGAGGAGGGGCCAGAGGCTGACTCTGCAGCCAGAACCTTAGAAAACTCGGTTCACCACCACCTGTCCACTCCCTGTCCTCAGGGGCGGTAGGATCAGAGCATCCTGGAGAAAGATAGTGGCGGGCAGGCGGGGCGGGCGGGAGGGAGGCGCCAGGGCTGGCCCCACCCGTTCTCTCCTCAGTGGCTCCCGTCCTCCCCCAGTGGCTCTGATCTGCCTCCTACGCTATGGGCAGCTCCTGGAGCGGAGTCGCCACTCCTGGGTTAACACCACGGCGCTCATCACAGGCTGCACCAACGCTGCGGGCCTTGTGGTAGTCGGCAACTTTCAGGTGCACCTTGCTCCCCCTGTTGAACATTCCCTGACAGCGCCAGGCCGCCTGCAGGGGCAGCACCTCCAGGTTGGGGGTGGGGGCAAGAGGGGCTGGGAGTGAAAGGGAGGAGGAGAGGAGGAGAAAGAAGGAAGAAGTGCAGAGAAGAGTGATGAAGGAGGCAGGAGGGGGTAGGGCTGCTTCACAGGGCAGCTTCTCTCCTCTGGGCCCAGGTGGATCATGCTAAGTCTCTGCACTACATCGGAGCCGGTGTGGCCTTCCCGGCGGGGCTGCTCTTTGTCTGCCTGCACTGTGCCCTCTCCTACCACGGGGCCACTGTGCCCCTGGACCTAGCCGTGGCCCACCTGCGGAGTGTGCTGGCTGTCATCGCCTTTGTCTTCCTGGTTCTCAGTATCCTTCCAGGGCAGGGCAGCCAGGAACTCTCCTCTAGCCCAGCCCTTCTCCCACCCAAGGCAAGGGGGGCAAGATCCCAGGTCACACTGCCCAGTGTGTCTTCTGCTCTCCATCCAGGAAGGGGAGGCCTGATCCCTTGCCCCAGCCTAGTTTTCTATTTTGAGTCCCTGGGTGGCACAAATGGTTACCTGCTTGACTACTAACTAAAAGTTGGCAGTATGAACCCACCTCAGAAGCAAGCCCTGGTGATCTGCTTCCAAAGGTCACAGACTTGAAAACCACCCTGTGGAGCACAGTTCTACTCTGCACACATGGGGTCAGGAGGAGTCGGAATTGACTCTACGGCAACAGGTTGAAGTTATGGTATCTGGGAGTACAGGAGCGGGGAGGTGTCACCAGGTTCCCACACATTCTACTGAACATTTCCTTAGCCTCATTCCAGGTGGGGTCTTCTTTGTCCATGAGAATTCTCAGCTGCAGCACGGGGCAGCCCTGTGCGAGTGGGTGTTTGTCATCGACATCCTTGTTTTCTATGGCACCTTCAGCTATGAGTTTGGGGCAGTCTCCTCAGAGACACTCGTGGCTGCACTGCAGCCCGCCCCTGGCCGGGCCTGCAAGTCCTCAGGGAGCAGTAGCACCTCCACACACCTCAGCTGTGCCCCTGAGAGCATCGCCATGATCTGAGATTTGGGGAGGGTGGCTGGCCCCGGCCCCATCGCTCCCAACCCCACCTTCTTTGCATTTATTTTGTACCAAAAACACTTTTGAGAAAGTATTATGTTGGGATGTGGCTTCCTTGCTCCCAGAGGAGTGGCCATCCCACATCCATCTGTGCCACAGAGGAGCGGGAGGCCCTGCCAGCTGTCCAGCTGCTGCTCCCCCTACTCCCCACCCACGGGGTGGTTTGTGTTTTCAAATCACCTGTCTTCACGCGCCCAGCCAACCCTTCAGGTGCCTTCTACTCCCCAGTTCTGAGGCAGGACCACTGGGGTTTCCTGCTGCAGGAATAGGGGGCTGGGAAAGGCAGGAGGGAAATCTGGTGGGGGATGGGGGGCTGACCATGCTTTAGTCTGGTAAGGCCCACTTCCAGGCCCACTGAGCTGCACCGAGATTCTTCACTCTGCTCCTCACTTCCTTTAGGGCAAATAACACAGCAGAACCACATGGGTATTTTAGTAGTTTTTTTTTATATCTATTAAAAGAATTCTAATTTGCATGTTTGTAGTCTGTTCTGGAGAGTCAGAGAGGGCCTGATCCAGGAGTGGACAGGAGGAAGCCCCACCTCTGAGAGAGTCCTGAGTGTCTTCCACTCTTTGAGAGCAGGACAGCCAGGTGAAAAGGATGCTGGATGCCAACAAAATTCCTCTCAAGGGCTTGAAGTCTAAAGAATTGACCTGGTCTGACCTGGTCTAATAATTTTATTCACACGTCCTTCCCCATCTCAGAGCCTGGTTTGAACTTTGATTCTGGGGCGGGGCTTGGTGGGGGAGGTGTTTAAGGAGCAACTTTAAAATGTGAGAAGCTACAGAAAGCCCCTGGGATTCCAAGGTTAACTAAAAATTGCAGGGGAGAGGGGGATATAGGCTAGTTTTTCTTTACCAGCTTTAAGTAGCTACTGGTGCCAGTTCCGGACCCATTTCCTTCCAACCATGAACACACAGGGCTAAGCCCTGGTTGGTCCAGTGGCCAGGTTCTTCACTGCCCTGAGTCCAGATGGGCCAGCAGGCTTGGCAGGGAGGGAAACGAAGCCTGGAGCGTTCTCTGGTTCAGGACCACCTTCCCCAATAGCAGTGGGACTTGATGGGGCAGAGCCCCCTCCCAGGCCTGTGAGCAATGCAGCCGAAGGGTGGGTAAAGAGACCTTTAATGAGGATTCAAGGTTCAAGAGGAAGATGTTGCCGAGGGCTGGGGCTCAACCGCAACTGCTTCATGTGTACATGGCTCCATGGAGGTTCTCCAGTCGGTGCTTCTGCTGCTGCTTGCGAGCCTGGGGGAAAGAGGGCACAGTGGTCAGGCCTGTGAGTGAAGAAACAGGGCAACTGAAGGCCACTGGCATCTGCATTGCTGTGGCGCTCACCCCTCACCAAGACCAGAGCCAGGGATTCTGAGGGCCTACACAGGCCTGCTGAGGTGTGGAAGGAGGCAGCCACGGAGGCAAAAGGAGTCCCCCGGGACCCCCTCCACTTACGCCAGCCCCTACCTTATCTCGTCTGTGCTCTTCGTAAGTGTCGTCATCAGTGGGCAACTCATGGCGGCACAGGGGGCAGGAATTTGTCTGGGAAAAGCAGGGCAGTGTTCCAGCCTGGGTCTGGCCAAGATTCCTCCCCTGATCCCAACTGCCACCCCACTCCTTTGGTCCCCCAACAGTTCATAACAGAGACTTGAGAACTGGGCCAGGGCAGGGTGAGGGCTGGAAGAAGGGAAGCAGTACCTTGCTTAGCCAGGGTAGAATGCAGTTGGAATGAAAGAGGTGATGGCAAGGCATCTTAATGGCAGTCTCCTCCTCCTCAAATCCCAAAAGACACACGGGGCACTTGAGCTCTTTGAGAGGGAGTGCTGATCAGGAGAGCTGCTGTAGGCCCCACCCCCCAGCTCCCACTCCTAAAGGGCGCACTCCTGGGCAGACCTGGCCTGGGCAACTGAAGGAGCAGAGCACAGTCTGCTAGGGGAGGGCCTCACAGCATAGGGAATGTGTCCTCACCAGCCTGAGAGCCCCTGATGGTTGTCCTGGGGAGGCTCTCGACCACAGCCTTGGCAGCAGGTGGAGGCAAGTGGTGATCCCAATCTACTACCAAACCCCAGTCTTCAAAGTCCATCCTATTGAAAAGCGACCTGAGGAGGAGGATGCAAGGTCAAAACCAAGGAAAATCATACTTCCTCCTTGCCTCATAATCCACTGGACATTAATAATAAATATCCTGCCCAGCTGGTAGTCATCATAGCTACCCCACAGTAGGCGCTCCCTAGGTAAAAAGCACGGTGGAAAACGGTTTACAGCTGCGATCAGCCAATCCCAGGACGCACACTATTTATCCCCATTTTACACATGAGGCAACAGATTCAAAGAAGTTACTCAAGTCCAGGAAGGAATGATCTGGTAGAGCCAGATTCCAAATCGGCAGTACCGCCTTCGTGGCTGATGTTTCTAACAAACACACCTACTCACATTTACACGCCTCCACCCCGCCCCCGAAGACCCACCTTTTCCCGTACATCCTAGACCCCGCTGCCCTCCACTCCCACCACTCTCCAGCTCCAGTCTTCCCCCAAAATCCCCTTGCCCCGGCCCGCCCTGCCGATCCAAATTATCCCGAATCTCGCCGCCCGGACAGCACTCCAGATAATTCATCCAGTCCCTGCCCAGAATCCGCTGCCCCCGATAATCCGCCTTCTCCAGGCAGCCCCAGCCCAGAACCCTGTTGCCTTGGTCCTCACCCCCGAGCGTCGACCCTCCCAGCTCCCCACACACACCTTGCGAGTTCCAGCAGCATGTTGGTTCGGGCCTCCTGCTCGGGGTCCAACGGCTCGCAATCGTGCTCATCGAAATAGGATGCCATGACTGCCACGCTGACACAACCCTCGGACCCCAGCTTGACGGCAATCTCACGGCGCCGACCAATAAACTGGCGAGTTGAAAGAGGATGGCCAATCAGAGTATCCGGAGGGCGGGCACAAACGCTTGTTACCGCACAGAAGGCGGAAGTACTAATTTGGCTGCCTCTCATTGGCTCCAGTAAGTCAGGTGACCAACGACTAAGGCCAATGACAGGGGCAGGGACTGATTAGAAAACACTTGTTTTGGAGTCGGAACAAAGAGTAGATAGATGCTGGGGAGTGTGTGATTCTGGTCAAGTCTGTAGCACCCTGAAAAGTCAGTTGCTGGGCTGTAAGAGTCCTCAGTCTCTGTCATGAGGCTCAGAGGACTCTGGCAATGCAGATGCTCGCGCCCTGACCCTAAGACTCAGATCTGCGATCCAGGGGTGAGAGCCAGGATTCAGGGCGCTTCCTGCTGCTCTGCCCTCCCCCTCGCCCCTCGGCCCTCGCCTCTCGCCCCTTCCCCCTTGGCCCTCGTCCCCGTCCCCGCCCCTAGAATCTGCCCGGCTGGTGGCTCAGTGGTTAAGAGCTTGGCTGCTAACCAAAAGGCTGGCAGTTGGATTCCACCAGCCCGCCTTGGAAACCCTATGAGGTAGTTCTACTCTGTCCTATAGGGTCGCTGGAATCGACTTGCCGGCACGGGTTTTTGGCATTTCTGCACCTTTTGCGCTGCTTTCTGGATGGTTCCGGAGTTTACACTTGATTCCTCCCTCACCCCCCAAAAAAACAAAACCTTCCTGCACATTTCTTATGTGTTAGTCACAGTAATAGAGGGTGGGGCAAACCTCCCCACCAAGGAAGGGAAGATCCCTGCCGGGGAAACCCAGGGCCTTATCTGCTCTTTGGCCTATAGGTGTGACCTTCGTTCAACCCATTGCTCAACCTTTCCCCTAGGTTGTAGCTTCTGCTTCCCTATCTGTAAAACTAGCGGCTTTAATAGGCAAATGCATAGTGACCAAAGTTCATCAGTGATTACCAGGGACTAATGGTGGTAGGGAAAAATGGGGGGTAATGCTTAAAAGGTACAGAGTTGGAGTTCCGGCAAAATGGCGCACTAGGCAGAAGCACCATGCTGTCCCTCCACAGCAAAGATCCGAAAAACTAAGCCGAACAGAGAATACAACAATCCTGAAACCCTAAAACATCAAATGAAGGATAAAGAACTCAGCCAGGCACCAAATGGAGTGAGAAAACTGACAGAGAACGGAGAGCAAGGAGAGATTCATGCAGAGGTCCCCTACAAGCTAATGCAGCGCGGATCTGCCATCTTGGACTCCTATCGGAGACCAGCAAACGGTACGAGAAAGCAGCCTCACGGAGCATCCAGCGGGAGACAAAACAACCATCTCTTAACTCTCCACTCCAACGGCAAGCTCCCCTAGCATTTTTTTCTTTGTTTGTATGTTTTTGGCTCCTGTCCCTCTCTCCTCTCTCCCATATCCCTCTTAGCTCCACACATAACAGTCTCCCCACTGCATCCTGCCTACCTGCACTGTGCGCTTGACATCACACCATCAAGCAGCACGGGCACGGCCTACTGGAACCTGCCCTGCGCTGATTACCGACCCACTCTGGTGGCTGTAGTAAGTGCCACAAACAATCCATCCCAGTAACTCCTCTTCAGCTAGACCTGCCCTGCCGTACCATATCTGAGTGCCTGACCCTGCCAACTGGAGAAGGAGGCGAAAAGTATTTTGCCCATAGATGAGCAAACAACAAAGAACACTCAGTCTGCCTGCTCAGACATAGTCAAATTTAAAAAAAAAAAGAGGGGGAGGGGACAAAACAAACAAATCTGCAATCAATAAACAAGAAAAATAACTACTGAATGCCCCAAAGACAGCAGACAATATCAAAACATTTACAAAAACAGGACAGGATGGTTCCAGTAGGCGTCCAAAATAAAACACCAGATGACCCTCCTATATAAGAAAATGCACTAGAACTACCTGATAGGAAATTCAAATCTCTAATACTCAGAATCATCCAAGACCTGAGGCAAAAAGCTGACAAAGATGAGGAAAAAATAGACAAATTCATGGAAAATACAGACAAAAAATTGGAAGA